CTCGAAATTCATAAGGCATAGTTGAACATAATGATGTGACATGGGGTGTCCTTCACGAAGGCCTGTCGCCTGCTGCCGGTTTGTCCGTGTTCAACTCAGCCCGCAAAAGCGAGCAGGTCCCGGTGGCACCACTTGGAGGAACGGACGTCACCACCTCTGATGTGCTTCTAGTCAGTGTTATAAAGTAAAGTGAGTGAGGTTATGCACCTCTCACTTGCTATATGCTCTCTAACACGTACCACTGGCATCTTGCTCTTCTCACCGTAAATTTACCTGCAGGCGAAATATTGAAGTTGCTGTATGATCCCTAGCTGCGCGCAATCTCTTCTCTTCCACATTGGCAGAGGGCAAACGCCAAAGCGCACGTGCGGATGGTGTTTACAGCGTCTCGGCTGACGCTTGATGTTGCATATCAGTACGTAAATCAAAATGACGTTGTGAGCTGAATTCGTGTGTGCTTATTTTTCGGTTAGCACCCTCGTGAGCCTGTACCGCCACGCTGTCCCTAACAACAGATCACCCTCGCAATCTTGGAAGCCAGCCGTCGTGACTATGCTCCCTCTAAGTCTCCTGGCCGTATACGGGAGAGGGCAAAAAAACCTGCACTTTTCTTCCTTGACTTTCGAGGCGCTATAAGTTACACTTTATTAAATTCTGATCGGACATTTCTACCACCATATTCAACAGCATATTAAATACTATTATGATACTCCGCCACAGCCTTCTGGAGGAGCGCCATCGAGAGATTCTGCCACGCGGACCACGATTCGGTGCCTGACCGTTCCAAGGCGAGATTAAGTTCGAGGTCGCGTTGATTTCTCCGCCACTGTAGACCACCCTGTTGAGCTCCGCCCGAACCGGGTAATTGAGGGGTTTAGGTCAGGTGACACACTTAGATATTCCATCTTCTTCAGGTACTCAACGCCCTTCCATTCCAAGTAGGCGAGAGTTTTTCCAACGCCCTTCGATTCCATGTGGTGGCACCCAAACCTGTAGCAGTACAAAGTTTCCAAGAAGGTACGGGCGACGACATGTAGGGAGGATATTCTTCTCGAGTTGCTCGATGTAACCGCCAGCGCTCACCTTCAGTCCGGGTCCACGAAATATCGGTCTTTCCATTCCAGGTACGTCCGGTCCATACCATTCCGCGCCTTGGCGACTGCGGTGAAGATGATGTCCTAGACCGTAGCGACGTTGTCGGAGCTGCTCGATGTTGGAGGTCTTCCAGATCGAGAGTACTGGTCTCCAGGTAGCTATCCATGGGTGACTCCATACTAGAAGCTGTTTGGAGGTGACATGAATTCCAAAGGTCTTCTCCAGTCAGGCTGCGACTGGAGATGACTTCATATTTTGGTGTACATGAAGGTGATGGGCGAGAGCCAGCTCCTGCTTATCGAGGAACATCTTGGGTATCTTCCGCCCTGGTACTCGTATCCTGCAACGGTGTATTTGTAACATATGAATTCGTTTTGTGGGACCTTTGCAAATATTACCTTCAATAAACAGGGACACGCCTTCAGGGGCAGAGCATAACAGCGCGGTGGTCGTATGAACGGAGCCAAGCATCCCACTGCATGTGTATGAGTATAGTTATTTCTTCATTTGTACGCCTTTCTCTCTAGAGCGGGGCACATCATTTGTTGGAGATTTTGGTCGAGTCCGCCCCCACCTGCGCGGCTGTTCCTCTCCTCATCGATACGAGCCAGCGCGGGGGGCGGGGGCGCGGGTACACACGTGACATGAAGAAACGCCGAGCGGCGAAGGAAATGCTACCCCTCTCACCATTGCTACCATTCTTAATTTTCCCTAAATTCATATCAGTTTTGCCCGAATTTCCTGAAACTTTTCCTACTTATACTCAAAAATTTTGCTGTTGAGCGGAGGGGGGAAGCGTATGTAGCACGCACGAAACAGGAAAAACACGAAAAGATAGCAATCTCTGTAGGACGTCAGAAGGAAATACGACTTCACCCCTCTAAAAGGTCCCTGAAACAAGAAAAATCAACTATTAGAAAAAATTTTCTCATCCCCTGTTGTAGAATCCCCAACAACGATGTGCCCTGCTCTGAGTGGTAATGAAATATAATGAAACACATTGCAATGTGAAAGGCGCAATAATTCAGCCTTGTTCGTAGCGAAATCATGGGGCGTGTCAGGGGAAGATCGCTTGGCTTAGCGCCAGCCTCTTTTTCTTTTTTTCTTTCGGCAAGCGATGACACTGTATCACATCTTTCCGAACCGGTCATTTGTCACCAGCTGTTGTCGCTTGCTCGCTTCAGCAACTGATGTTTTCATCCTGATCGTGGAGCCTCGTGAAAAAGAATCATGTCTGGCAAGAGATACTCCGTGATCTTTACTATTAAAATTCAACTGGAGTCATGCCTTGCCTCGACAGTCGAGAATGAGCTTGTAATTGTGTTTTAGGTGGGCAATGTACCGCGGTGTCTGTCGGAAACCCTACGGAGAGATGGCGTTTCGTGCTTGTGGGCAAAAAATGAGGTAAGCACTTGTTGGGAAAAGTTCAAGACAAATCTGAATACGATAGCGTCAGAGAGGGTAGCCTTGTCAGAGTGGGGGAAAGGGGGGATAATAATATCCCATTATCGCTTTTTCAACACCAGACGTATGTTTCCTGAAACCAGTCGGTACAGTTGTAGTATTGAATATCACGATGTCTGGAATGGATGGGGGGGGGGGGTGAGATGGAAGCTCCGGAGCAGTTTTCTTTCAAGTTTTTTCGAATGTGCCCGTCCACAGTCCCGTGCAATCTAACAATAAGATTCACACATTCATGATTTTCCGAAATCTTGAACAATCCCCAAAAAATGATGCTTGATGAAGTTTTCTCGCTATCAATTTGACAGATCATTTATCGCTGTGATGGTTTGTTTGACTCAATTCGGTTTTGCTACCGTGCTTATACTGCTTGCGGGGAAGAATACTGCTATTCTGTTGCATTTCTTTTTTAGTATAAAGGTACCATTCAATTTTTGTGGGTTTTTGCTCTTTTTCTCTTCATGTTCTGGAAAAGGGCAATTCCAGATAAATTTCTGCTGGCTTATCGTAATTGTTGGATTGATAGTCTGGCCGGTTACAATGCTCAGGAGCCCGATGCATTTTTGGTGCGTTTCCTTCATGGAAAGTCCAGATGAAAATTATTTCAAGGTCCTAAGGCCATGCTTTTCTTTTTGCTCTAGCAAGACAGAAAAGCAGCCAGTGTATTGTAGGGCTCCTTTGAATATTATTTGACATGAATAGAATCACAATTTTACAAAATTTGTGCGTCTGCTGCTCTAGGCAAGTTGCCGTCTTCTCAGCGCTCTCTAGTTCCCTGGCTGTGTGTTTGCTGGTGATTGGATTCATACATGACGCTCCAGTTTGTGCTCAGGTTCTTTATAATTTCCTTATTTTTTAGTTTACTTGTTAGAGTTGCTTGGAGACACTTCCCGAGTTTGCTAGGTTGTTAGAATTCCTTCCCTGCCCAATTGGTCTGGTGCAACGTCGGATCGTGGGTCGAGCCGGCAGTAAGTGGCGAGAGCGCCGACAACCGTGAGACGAGCTGTCGCAATCAGAATGAAAAAGTTCTCAAGAATACCGCAACGCGGCGCTTTCCCTTCACAACCCTTCTTTTCAGATAGTGGGCTCATTTTCTTTGGAACTTGTCTTTGAGGAAAGATGTGATATTGACAGAAACTGACTTCCCTGGGGGTTTGTCAACCGCACAGATGTTCTCACCCTTAAACAAATATTCGACTATTTGCCGAATACGTCACTTTACGAGGAATTCAAGCGAGTATGGTAACGTACTTTTGCTTCGACTCGGCAAACCAATGGTAGTCTTTTGCGTTACACTTTAGGGTTACATTCAACAGAGACGGCGACTTGAGGGAAAATCACCAATTGTAAAATTTCACGAAAGATTTTGATCGAATTATTCTCAAAAATAATCTCAGAACACTTCCTACCCTGCATTCGACCTACGAAACTTCTTCATGGCATACGGTACTATGGTGTTCGCTTTTGGTGGCCATGCCGTATTTCCGACAATTCAGAATGACATGAAGAAACCTCGCCTCTTCAGTCGCTCCGTTTGGGTCGCGTATGTTTGTACGTCCTTTTTTATTACGTTCACCATTCCTACATACATCGACGCAGGAAAAGATTTTGAGCGTCGACTTCCGTTAAAGTCCAGTCATATCCACCGCGGTCAAACTTTCTTTCCCTTTTTCCCGCAAGCTATGAGCCTGCTGCTCAAGCTCTCGATCAAACGTTTCTCGGATACATTACGGAAGCTAAAATTTCAAAATTGCTCGTCACCGCCGTACCTCACCGTTTATTGCCGTGTTCAACCGCTCCCTGCTAGCTGAACCAGAAATTGCAATAGTATTAACCCGTCACATACATTACTGTCATGTTGACTTGGGGGTCTACTCCAATGCCCCTTAAGTTCAGTAGTTTTACAGCAAATTCGCTAGGAAGGTGCGAAGTTTTGGAAGAGAAGCAATTTTGTGTACGCCCATACTTTTTAGAAGCTTTTACACCCTACAGCGCGTTACTATTTTAGCATAGATGTCGAATCAAATATTTAGTGATCGTTATCTATTACGTCACTGTCTCTGTGATGGGCTACTCAATCTATGGAGCATCAGTAGGTGAAGCGATTATACCATCAGTACAACTGCAGTGGGTACAGCAGACCGTAAGATCTTTCTCCTTTAACTTAATTTTCTTTATTCACTTTGCACTTTTCACTTGCCTTACATCTTATTCCCTCTCCCTTCATTCTAATTCGGTACTGTGCTAATGCGCACTCCCCATCTGAGGGCTAGAGTTAGTGTTGTTGCAAGGCTAAACCTGCGCTGCCGGAAGTAAACCGTGTCAGGGCACGCGCTGCCGTTAGGAGGAATTTCTGCTGAATATGACCCCCTCCAAGCGACCCACTACCATCCTCACGCTGGGATTCCCAGCGTACGGCAGTGCTTTGCCGGTAAGGCGTCCGCACCGGATCTTATTGGATTCCAAATGAAAGTGCTGCAGTCAACCGAGGGAATAGCTAGCTATTACTGTGCCCCTAGCTACTATCTGCAAGAAGCTTGTACCTCCTCCCTTTTCCGCTCGCGCCCCTGGCTTTAATTTTGTGTTGCGTTCTCCACGGAGAGAGCTCTTCAAAAGAGATAACGTGCGAGGCAACCACGGCTGAAACCTTTTTGACAGGAATTTTTACCCACACGGTCGCCATCACTCTGTGAACATCATGAGGACTCTTTTGTGCTGGTTCCATATGGGTAAATTCTTGCATTTTCCTACGTTGCTGAGCTGAATGAAGCTAAGTGTGCTGAATCACCCCGTGGATGGCTGCTCCTTTCGAATGGATACTCTTTCCGCTGCGCTCTTTCTAAGACTTAATGAAAACGAACACAGTACTACCACATACGCAGCGGTGACACTGAATCGTCCATATCACAACACGACGATGGCTGCTTATTGTCGTGCACACTATTCTCTCTTATATGTGCGCTCTTGCCTTTCATTCTGGATCCGTTCCAGCTACCGCCGCACTCGCGCTTCGCCCCCACACGCCTGTTGCCCTCAGCTACCATGAAAATGCAGCCACTGTCGTGCCAACTACGGGTAGTCTACGAAGTGATCCAGTATGGAGAAGGTGTGGGCTGTCATGCGTCTCCGGGATATGGGTAGGCTTATCTCGGTCGGACAATTCCGGCTTTTCTCTCCCTCTGATATGTATAGGAAATTAGCCACCAAGACCACATAACCCTCCCTAACATAAATTTTTGCTTGACCAATTTTTCAACAAAACAAAAATTGTGATTCTGAACTGTAGGTAAACTTGATGATCGCGCTGCACGTCATTACTACGATCGTGATCGTGTTCTCACCGTTGACGCAACAAGTGGAGGAAATTCTCCGAATACCACATCGTAAGTTCTTTGCTGGAGATCCTCTGAATCTCAGTTTTAATTTCGTGGATTCTGTGTCCTCCATGTACGAACTTCATCTTTAATACCAGAAGAACTGATAGAAAATAAAGATGCTTAGCTGCCAGGTGTTGCATGGGAGATCAACGTTGTGGCGACGCCTCAATGCAGTTTTGCAAGTAGCGCTGCGTGCGTGGCATTCGTACCAGGATAACATGCAAGTGATGCAGTCTGGAGCAGCAACTACATCAAATTGGCCAATTTGTCGCATCGCAGCGACGTGGATGTTCCAGCTCCCTCATCGCTGTTCAGTAGGTGTGCTATGTATCCGTGGAAGGCGAATGCCGTTTGGACTCCAGCAATTTCGGCACCGAGCTCATTTTTAAATTGCCTAAGTCACCAAATCCGCTAAAAACTTGTATATAGGGGTAGTTTAACATCCTGATTACGAATATGACATTCACTCTTGCCGCTGGCGCTAATGGATGACACTACGATTATCTGCGCTCTGCTAAGGCTGAGCCCAGAGGTAGTCGTATCTCTTGGCGCCAGCGCCAAGAATGAGTGTCATAATTGTAATCACGATGTTAAATAACCCTTGTGTACATGTTTTCAGCGGGTTTGGTGACTTAGGCAATTTAAAAATGAGCTCGGTGCCGAAATTGCTGGAGTCCAAACGGCATTAGCCTCTGTGTAGTT